CAGTTCATTTAGTATCTGTAAGGCTCACCTTGGTGCTCTGCTCTCCATCTGTGCAGCTGAGTTGCTAAGATGACAAGGGCCAGGAAGAGAAGGGCTCCTAGGATGACACATAGGACCACAGGAAGGGAGAAGGTGTCAGAGACAGGGGCTGAGGGTGAACTGGAACCTGAGGAGATAAAAAGGGCCATATGACTTTGAAGAGGATCATAAGCCCAGCAGAACTCCTCATGTCTTCAGTACCCTGATGTCACCAGTTCAAATAACATGGGTCTTCCTGAACCAGAAGATGTGCCTGACTCAGGAGCTTCTCTGAGCTACATCAACTGTCTGCTGAATCTGGTCCTAAATGCTTTCTGTAAAATGAATGCTGGTGAATCTTAAGATCTTCATGGCTGCCATAACTCAATAGGGTTATAAACACCTGGAGACCTTTCTTGTACTGATCTGGTGAGTCTTGCCAGAAATATGGATATTTCATAGTGCAGGTCCCTGCAAATCCAAGTATCTTCTCTATTACATACTCAGAACAGAGGAACCACTTACCTCCAAGATTAGGGGAGGATGTTGTCCTCTCACCTGGAGGGAAGACAAAGAAAATGCACCACTGGAAAAGCTATAGCATCAAACCCACTATCACTGCCACTTCCTTCTTTCTCAGATTCCATGAGACCAGACTACTACATTTCCAAAGCCAGGGGAGAGGGCAGCGGGTCCACCCAGAAAGTGCTTCTGGTTACAAACTCAGTCCTCCTGCAGCCTTCTTCCTTTCTTCCTGTTCCTGCACTCACCAGAGCACCTCACTGCAGCGTCCTCCTCATGCTTGCAGTTGCTCTGCCCCCAGGGCTGTGCAGCACAGGCCCATAGGGAGGACTCCCTGCCGTTGCACCGCACCTCATCCAGCCAGATGCTCCCATTTCCCGGGCCAAATGCAGCCTTCTGTAGGGCTTCCAGGGCAAAGCCACAGCCCAGCTGCTGACACACCACTTCAGCCTCTGCCAGGCTCCAGGAGTCGTCACACACTGTGCCCCAGGAGCCATTGTGCCAAATCTCCACTCGGCCTGAGCACATGGTGTCTCCTCCCCTGAGTCGGAGCTTCTCTTTGTCTGAAAGGCAACAGTTCTTCCTGTTACCGGCCTGGTGGGAGGAAGGAGCCCTTGGGGACCATTAGGGGAGGTGGGAGAGGGGAAGTACCTGTGCAGGGGGCAGCAGTGGGACAGCTCTTGGGTTTCTTTCCTGCATAAACAGATCATGGGGAAGGGCTGTATCAGCGAGAGTTCGGGACCTTCGTGTGGTCAACAGGTTTGACCATTTCAAGCAGGACACCCCAAGATCCCATTGAGCACAAAGATAAGGGCAAACGGTGAGCACAGAGAAATCAGGAGCTTCGTTTCAAGTCCAATGAGCAAACATCTGAGATGTAAGTTGGTGTTTTTAAAACAGTCCTGGTGATCTCCTTCTGAGAGCTCACTGCCTTGAAAACGCTATGGAGCAGTTCTACTCTGCACACATGCTTGGAGTTGTCACAAGTCAGAATTGACTGGTTGGCAACTAACAGCAACTTGGCTGCATCAGGTAAAACAAAGTCATGAGAAGGCGAATAAAGAATTTTGTGCTCCAGAGTTGGCTTCATTGCTAAGGTGTGATTTAAGAGCTTTTTTCAAATTTTAACGAAATTGGTGACGTGCACAGATGAAGAACTCTTCCACTCCCAATGGTCCTGAGAAGGGGTAAATTTTGCTACTATTGCTCTGTGTGTGTTCCAGAGTGATGGATACCTGTTTCCTCTCTTATGTTGTAAGTACTGGCAAGGTCTTTTATGGCAAGATGCTCATGGAGTTCTGAATGTGGTAGAACAGAAGTTACGGGGGTTTGAGAGAAGAAATAAGCTCCCTGTGGTGTTATGGTGTTCAAGGAGGGCAACTTCTAGTGGAGCCACATTTTCTAACTCAACTAGGAGGCCAGGAACATTGTCAACCTCCAAAGTGTGATGGCTCTTGATCTCACCAGCTTCTCTTCCCTACTTTCCTAGAATAGTAAGTTCCAATCACTGTCTCACTGTTGTAAATCAATACCACTCTACTTTACCTGTACTCACCATCTCTCTCTATCAAATAACTTTGTAAAAATAATTTTATTATCATAAAGCTCATGTTGTTGTTGTTATTGTTGTTATGTGTCGTCAAGTCGGACCTGACTCATAGCGACCCCTCCTTGGGTTTCCAAGGCAGGATCATTATGGAAATAGATTGCCCCATCTTCCTTCCGAGGAGTGGCTGGTGGATTTGAACCACCAGCCTTCTGGTTAGCAGTCAAGTGCCTTAGGCACTACACTACCAGAGTACCCCATAAAGCTCATAACCCTTTGAAAATATTGTTTTACTTTATTGCTTTGTTTTTAATGTTTTAAGTCAATTGCCACCAATAGCACAGAATTAGAGTTTGGACTTTGGCCGTCTTATTCAGTTCTCTTGTTCCTAGATTACTACTAGAGTCATAGTAAACAATAACAACAACAATAACAAGAAAAAAAGAAAGAAAGAAAGAAAAAGAAACCAATAAACGAGAAAAACCAAATTCACTGCCATGGAGTCAGTTCTGACTTATAGTGACCCCCATTGGATTTCTAAGGCTGTAAATCTTTATGGAAGCAGACTGTGTCATCTGTCTTCCAGAGAAGGTGGGTTTGAACCACTGACCTTTTGGTTAGCAGCCAAATTACAACCCCTACACAACCAGAACTCCTGTGAGTCATAGTGGGCCTACAATAAATATTAATTTGTTAAAAAGATTGATAAATAAAAGGATGAGAAGGTATTGTAAGATGAATCATAGTTTCCATTTCATCTGCTCTCCATAATTGAACTATGAAAAGAATTGTAGACCAATCAATGTTAATGCTTGGTGATTAACTATCTCTTTCAATTCCTCAACAGATTAACAAGTGCAGTGGAATAAATTGTGTGTATAGAAGGGCTTGTTTTTTTTCCCTATTAAAGGTACTTACTCATAGAAACATTATTCTGAGATGCACAAATATGTATTGTAGAAGGCATTGAGAGAAAAAGATATATCCCATTTATAAACTTCAGAAATTAAGAATGTAAAAGAAAATTTAAGTGATATCTTTGTGTTTTTAGCATGATATCTTGAACAGGAAAATGGATAAACGTTATGCTTATAGAGAGGAACAGAAAACATTAAAAGGAGGATTTAAAAATGCTTAGAAAGCCAGGGGATTAGTAAAATATAGATAGATAGAAAACGATACTTAGAAATTGTAGAGTGAGATACTGATTATGCACACAGAGGGATAATTACATAGAATGGATAAAGATAGCACAGATACTAAAAGATACAAAAAAGAGAAAAGGACTAACAAAATGAGTCACAGAAAAATCTAGAATGTGAAGATGACAAGAAAGTATAGTATTTAAACAGACATAATTAAGATATACTACTTGTTAGAAAATTTAAGAATTGGCATGCTCTTTCTATATCATCCTATACAACCAGGCACCTTATTTAGAATTCCCTTGGAAAATATTTCTGAAATTGAGTTTCCCATCCTCTGCTGTGTGACTGCTCACTTTCAGAATCAGAGATTCTCTGACTCTCAAGGCAGCTTGCATTTATTTTAGATCTGCTCTTACCTCTAGTTCTAATGAAATAACTCCTAGTGTCTCAAGAGGAAAACAAAAACAGAAATAGGATGTCAAAAACAAAAGAAAATAGATGGTGAATCATAGATTGCCCAGGACTTAACTGTAAGTCTGTGCAATATTGCAAAGTAGATCAGACGAAAAGGAATCAGTAAAGATACCGAGAATCCCAACTGGTGAGGCAAGAAGAAAGAAATCCTCAGGGAGTCTGGTTTCAGGAATCACTAGAAAAGAATGGGTTCAAAGAAGGAAAAAAAATCAACTTTAGAATCAAAGTCCTTCAAAAAAGAAGAGAGGACAGATCATTACCCAAGGAAGGAGCAAAGGCACATTCCCCTACTCTGAAGAGTGCAGGTGCAGAACCGTGGGTTGGTGGATAAGGTGGAGGAAGGATGAGAGAGCTTCCTTCCAATTACTGCTATTCTGTCAGAATAGAAATGAGGCAGAGTCAGTCAAGGATGAGCAGTGGGACCAGTTATTGGTAATTTGAGGCAAGAACAGAAGATAAATTTGCAAATTTGAAGAGTGGGAGAAGAAAACTGCTAATGAAATAGGATTACCAAGGAATCCTAATTGCCCTTTAAGGATTTCCTCATGATCTTGAAATGAGACCAGTAAATTCTATGTACTTTTAAAGTTCAGTCTAGTCCAACTGTTTTAGTGCACAGCTAGGAAAGTGCAGATAGTAGAGCTTTCCAATCTTTGGGGTTTAACCAAGTGAATGTTATGGAGGAAAGGTATGACAAGGGAGTTAAATAAAGGTAGTGTCAAGAGAGTGAATGTAATAACAACTAAACTTACTGTCCTCGAGTTGGATCCAATTCATAGTGACCCCTCCTTGAGTTTCTGAGGCGGTATCACTATGGAAGTAGATTGCCCAACCTTCCTTCTGAGGAGTGGTCGGTGGGTTTGAACTGCCAGCTTTCTGGTTAGCAGTCAAATGCCTTAGGCACTATGCCACCAGAGCTCCTCAATGTAATAATAGACCATAAAATTTAAATTGATGAGCAATAAAATACAGACATAACTGTTCATAATGAAAACAAAAAATTAAAGATTCATTAGACTTCAAATGTGTTCATGAGGAAAAAATATCTAAGATGGAAATAAAAATGATAGTCAAAATGTAACACATTTTAAATGCAGATATCTGAAGTGGTGCAGTTATGGGTGATGACAAAGGTAAATACAGGATTACATGAGAAGTAACAGAATATGGGTGGCGGAAAGTTGGGTAGATTGTCTGCATGAATGTTGAAATTGGATATAACAATGAGGAAAGAGGTTGGAGAGAAAGACTGAGAGCCTGGCTCTGAAATCATCAGTGAGTGATGGAGGGTGACCAGCAGGTGGGTTGTTGTTATGTGCCGTTGAGTCGGACCCCACTCATAGCGACCCCTCCTTGGGTTTCCAAGGCAGTATCACTAGGAGTAGATTGCCCCATCTTCCTTCTGAGGAGTGGCTGGTGGGTTTGAACCTCCAGCCTTCTGGTTAGCAGTGAAGTGTCTTAGGCACTATGCTACCAGAGCTCCCAGCAGGTGGGTAGAAGACCCTAATAACCATGAGGAGAACAGTATATGTCAGTGACATAAATTTCAAAGGATTTGGAATAATTTCAGAACAGAAATGATTTGGGATTTCAATGGGGTTCAAAGAAGATGCTGAAGTCACCTATAAACACAGAGGCCAGAGGATTATATGAAAAACAAAACAAAACAAAACAAAAAACCACAATTATTTGTAAGGTTGTAGGGAAAACACTGTCATCAATGGCTAGTCAGCCTTTGTTTACAAGGAAACATAAGGATATAGGAAAATTTGCTGATGCCAGAAAGAGAATTCAAGAGACAGCAGCAAATTCTTTTAGTAGGGTAGGGGAAGAAAGAGTAATATTGAGTCAGATTTATGGATTATACAAACATCATGAGAATGAGGGTCCAGGTATTAAAGTGTGAATTTGGAGTCTTGGGTTTCTCTGGAGCACGAAGGCAAAGATGGGAGGTCTGTGGATCTTTCTGAGGATCTTTTATAATGTGTTTAGTTGTCATTTCCATCTAGAAATGATGGGGAGACCATGCCACTGATCTCTACATCATGAGCAAAGTCTTAGAAACTCTGGCTCCTGTCACCCCTCCAGGCCATTGAGCCTCATTCTCCCTCATGTTCTCCTTGCTCAGCCATATTGAGCTGCTTTCAGTTTATCAAATAAACCCACTCCATGACCTTCTAGCTTGCTTTTCCTCTGGCCAAAGTATCTTTTTACCTTATTTTCACTTTGGTGATGTCTACTCATCTTTTAGGATTTTGCATAAACACTTCTTTCTCTCCAAATTAAGATTTGTTTTCATGTTTTACTCTTTAGAGAATGTGGTATTTATCTTTCCTGATACATTATATTTGCTCAGTGAGTCTTTATCATTAGGTTTCCATCTTCAGGATAGTGTTATATATTGTCCATTCTGTTACCATGACTGTAAAAGGACTTGCAAATAATTGGTGCTTAATAAAGGTTTGTATACTCTTCACCTTGGAGCTCTGATGGCATAGTGCCTAAGGCATTTAACTACTAATCAGAAGGCTGGCAGTTCAAACCCACCAGCTGCTCTGTGGAGGAAGACTGGGAAATCTACTTCTATAAAGTTTTACTGTGTCAGAAACCCAAAGGGGGTCACTATGAGTCAGGATTGACTCAATCACAGTGAGGTTGGTTTTATTTGTTTAGACTTATCACCTGACTTAGAAAGTGCAAAGATCACAAAATTCATTACAGATTGGAAAGGGCAATGCTTTAGAACTGGGCGTATTGGATGGATATCCAGTTGTGGCACTT